CAAGCCTCCCTGCCCCCCAACAACCTCTCAGCATTTAGGGAAAGGAGGGCAAGGAACCATACTGACTCACCTCTAGAGGTCCAACACTGCCTGGCCAGCCACCATCCTGGAAAGGAGATCAGGCCATTAGAGGCAAAGCAATTGAGCAAACAAAGCAGTTGTGAGTCTCCCACCTCTGTCAAGCAGCATATACGATTCTCTTCCCCTTCCATGTCAGATACCAACCCAGGAAGAGGAAGTTGGGGGATAACTTCATTTTGAAAGGTTCCTCTGCTCTGCACCCAGTACAGTCTTCTCAGCTCTCCTCTTTTATAGGAAATGGTCTCCACTGAGGATTTGTACCTCCTAAAATACAACAAGGACTGGACTACGTATATGGTAATTTGCAATCATGAACAGGAACTCTGTGAGATCTTATAGTAATGCCATCCACAGGCAGCAGGAGTTGTCATCTGCAAAACCACATCCCGTTTCATATTTCCGAAGAAGCATAAAATGTACCCAGAGGGAGCAATGTGCTTCACATACCCAGAATTGTGAGGATTCTTCACGGTGAACCAGCATAAGTTAATGATTTTTTCCCTTTAGCAGTATCGAGGGGGCCAGTTATCTCATGGAAAGGATTACAGCCTCTGGAATGGAGAGCATCTTGCTTCGTGCCTCCTCCTTCTCCAGCCTCTGGGAAACCTATTCCAAGGTGGGTGGGATGGTGGTAACTTAAACACCAACATCCTTGGGGAATGATGGCCTGTCCAGTAAAGAAGAGGAAAATTGCACACCAACAAACTTGAAAGATTGCACAGAGCATGTTTAAGCATCCAAGCCTGCTATTTTAGAAAAAAACCCAGTCTTCAGTAAGCCCCAAGCAGTGACTACAGGAGTGGAGAATAGATGGTCCTGCATCTCTGAGGAATACAACTTCCAGCACCTGTAGTATGAAGGGTCAAGTATGACACACACTTTACTTGTCCCATTTTTTTACTGTCCTCTTTACCTCTCCCACTCACTTTCTTTTCCATGGGTGGGTCCAGAGGACTTGTGCTTAGTAGACCTGTTGCACAATCCCCCTCTGTTCACTCTCCTTCCTACTTTATGTCTTCTCATCCAAGCCATCCACTGGTGGACCCTCCACTTCCCATCCAAGACATCCAGTGGTGGGCCAATTTGGGGAGGGGGATGGGAAGAAAGAAAGAACCAACTCTTCACTATTCTTCCAGTCACTTAGCTAGAAGGAGAATTAGACAGATCTCCTTCTAAATTAAAATAACATTATCTAGAAAAAAGTTACTGTGCACCTATAAAAAGAAAATGAGAAATAACCACCAATAAAGTTGTAAAAAACAAAAACAAAATCCCCCAAGTTCACCATTTCACCAGACCACTAGCAAAACTGAAAAACAGAACAAAGCCCAACCATATTTCAGCATTTCACTGTTCCAAAGGTCCTTTCAGGAGGGGTGGGACTAGTGAGCAGAGAGAAAATGCCATCTCACCCCAGCCCCGCTTTGATGGAGAGCAGGAAAAGAAGGGAGAAGTTGACCTCATGGGGAACTGGAGCAGGCAGAAGATGGCTTCACGCATTCCTCCCCTCACGGGATGGGTAATGGGCTGTCCTTGCATCAGGGCAAGCAGGAGGTGGGGCTGAGCTGAGAATCCACCTGCATCCTCATGCTTTGGCAATGAGTTTGGTAATGGAGGTGCTGGCCTTTGGGCCCCCTCTGGCTAGTTGGGCAAGATGGCTCTATGGAGTGGGATGAGATGGTCCCACAATCAAATTAACTTGGTAGAGTGATTTTAAAGCCTGTCCATGGCCTGGTCTGAGCTACATTTAATTCCCTGGGATTACGTGGCTGAGTCAGTTGGCTTCTTTTTGGTGTTCCCACATTGTAGTCGACCTCCACCGCCAACATCTTGGCCCACTGAAGAATGTTGTGAGAACAGCAAAGCTAGATTCCTTTTTCTTTTTCTATAACCCGTCCACAGCAGCAAATCTAAGGTGAAGAGAAGCCATAGGGCCCTGATGCGGATTGGAGCTCTGAACACGTTCCCCCATATGTGCTCTTTGGGGAAAAAGAGGTGGGAGAGGGAGATTTGAAGGGCCCAACCCCAGGAGAGTTCAAGCCTGCTTTCCAAACTAAGGTAGTTTTGCCCTGAGATCACAGAACAGTGAAGGCCTCCATTGAATGTCAGGATCAGATGTGAAAGAGGGTAAATGTCAGATATAACTTATTTCCTTCTTAGCTTTATATCCTGCCCATCCTCTCAGAGTTCCAGGTGGTCTACCTACCTACCTCTGCTCCAGCTGTAGGCAACTGTTAAGATAGATTGGGTAAAGATAGAATGACTAACATTCTCCTTGCTTGAGCTGATGAACCACTGAAGCTGCACAATGTTTCCATGAACCACTGAAGCAGCATGTTTTTAACATACAGCCTGTTTTCAGTGGTTCATGAAAACATTGTGCAGCTTCGGCGGTTTGTTGGCTGAAGAAAGGGGAACCACATCTGCCATATTTAGTAACAGGCATCCCGTTCGTAAGTACAAATTCCAACTTACATACAAATTTGGATTAAAGAAGGACTTAGGAACAGAACTCATTCTTAACCCGAGGACTACCTGTATCCATTTAATTTTAGCAGCCAAAATAATAATTGTCCAACATTGGAAAACTGTAGATAAGCACCAACCAACAAGTGGGCTATTGAATTATGGACCCTGCTGTATCTTCCAAGTAGCCTTTACAGGTTGCTCCATGTAGTAGTCCACCTGCATGGTGATGAAGGCAATAGTCACTGTCATGAGATCTCTGAATCACATTCCAAAATCTTTCAGGGAGACTGCCACCCAGTCAAGAAACAACACCACTCTCATAGCACTCTGATGTACAAACAGTAATCTTGTCCTGCTTGGGTTCAACTTTAGCCTTTATCTCATCCAGATCCTGAC